GGACACCTTGACACATTTAGCCACAGCCTGACCACCCGATCCCTATAGTAAAACTTACCGACAATCCAGTGACTGATAGCATGAGCAACCATCCATCCCACCAGGACACCTTGACACATTTAGCCACAGCCTGACCACCCGATCCCTATAGTAAAACTTACCGACAGTCCAGTGACTGATAGCATGAGCAACCATCCATCCCACCGGGGCACCGGGTTACCTTGACGCGCATTTAGCCACAGTAAATTTTACCGACAGTCCAGTGACTGACAGCATGAGCAACTATCCAACCCACCGTCTGACCATCCGATCCCAATTAAGGCAACCCTTATGACAATGGTTTATACTATGGCTATCTGATATGGACCCACATGGTCTTTGTAGAAGATATTTTTTCCTCCTGTGTTCAATATAAATGCATTATGGCTCAAATGCATAACTCAAAATCAAAAGACCTTTGTGTCTTGGTTATTTAAGATTTCGATGGCATTACCTCTTTAAATTTCATAAACACACGTAGCATAATGGCCCGCCAAATGGATTAATTCACGGGAAATGTGTTCAACAAACCGATACTAATAACTACCGGGGACGCACACTGTCACAAAAAAAAGTTTTATTTCATGGAATAATGACATTAGTCACGCACAGATTTCGATAGGCAATAATTCCAACAGAATAAAAAACAACAACATTGTTTTCACACAGTGTCATGTCCAGACGTACGTGACTTTTCGACACACGCAGGCATATCCTGATTTCGGGGCAAGGCATGATCGTATGAAATTCTTTCCTCATGTACATAGTGAATCAGGAAGTGATTATACTAGGTAGCTGAAGTAATATCTCTGTTGTGTCAAATGGCATGACATTACCAGAGTTATAGCCTTAGTCATTAATTATATATAGGCATGTGCACATGTAGGTCACACTTAAATTTATTATCCTAGGTCCCTTGGGCATATGAGAAAAATGGTTTTGGGTTCGAATTCCGATTCGCCCCAATTATGTTTCTAGATTTGTCAGCATACCCGTGCTCGTTGGTTTCACGGAAGTGGTAAACGTCTGAGACCTGCATCACCTCGGGCTTTCCTCCCACATTAAGCTGACACGCCGTGATGTAACTAGAATACTGTTAAAAGCGGCGTTAAACCCAACTCACTCACTCGTTATCCTAGGTATGTCCGATGTTATTTCTCCGTGTCGTGTTGTCAGTTGCATACATACAGGGTATAAATAAATAAATAAATAAATAAATAAATAAATAAATGAATGAATGAATGAATGAATGAATGAATGAATGAATGAATAACGAAATAAATAAATAAATTAATAAAAAAATAAACGGATTAACCCATTCTTTAAAGGGGGTGATGTCATTATTTGTCAATTTTCAAAGTTCCAATGGGGCATATTTGAAATACAATAATTACGAAATACGCACATTACAGATACATGTATATCCAATTTATATACCGGATTTTTTGTGTAGTCAGGTTCAATGAACTACATACTACCTGTGCGTTTCTTTTTTGGAAGAGTGTATGTATACTCTACCACTATGAAACCCTGAGCAAAAAAGGTCGAACCACAAAAAAAATACATAAAATAAGAAAAATCGTTTTCTGAATACGCCACATGTAATAACTTTCCAACTGCCACAAACACATGGCACGAGCCAATGTTTAACAGACACCTATCTCACATCCAGCGACAGATGCCAGGACACCGCACGTCTAATGTTGCTCTTCCTTAAAATTGACGATACATACATATTCACATAGCCTTGCTCCAAGGCTCTACTGAAAGAAAGGTCCATGGATGCGTAGTAATTCTATCCTCCTAATGACAAGTCTAGATATGTGGACATTAAGGACTCCTGTCTCTTATTGGGACAACTTGTTCTTATTATTTACATAATCTAAAAATAGATTTAAACTAATAATAATTGCCTTAGAGGCTTGTGCAAGTCTAATATTCACGCAATACTCTGAAACAGATGTGTCAAAACAGGATCACGTGATCGAATACTTCGTGTTAACGATATTCAGATAGACAATGGAGAAATGAAAACATGACACCGCGCGTATGTTTTGTGTATTTATATTTCAAACCATGGTCTCCATTACATCGAGTGTCAGATGATCCGATCGCGAGCTTTATTGGCGGTTAGAGTACAAAGGTTAAACTCTAGCAAGAGACAGTGCGTCTTCTGGTATTTCCCCCGTATGACGATGGAGAAACGTGGCGTGTTCGTGTTCCTGCGGTGTTGGGAAAACCTCCGTATTACATAAGATGTGCTATTCATATCCTCGTGATGGTGGTTCGGGGCAGTTTCGATTCGGCTCCTGGGCCTTTCGGAGTTATTCCCTGCCCCGAGGTCTGATGGTATTGCGGGTTGAGCTGAATTCCAGAACAGTTATTAGTGATAATGGATGCATTTGCTCAGATTGAAATGAGTAGGGGCTCACGTACAAAAGGGAGCATTTGTTTATCATACCACCAAGGTGTAAACCTTAGGCGTGCGAAATTTTACCTACATATCTACATATTGATGTAAGTACCTACACCGTCGCAGTGCGCACATGTGTAACACAGAAGGTAAAAAAAATTAAATTTGCCTGTGGTACTTTCAGAATCAGGAATGAGAACATGGCACATTTCAGTTTAAATATTTATGTAATATACAAGATGATATTATGAAAACATAACTTGTAATATGTTTACACAACAAAGACTTTCTGAAACATTTGTTGTTGTTTTTAGGGAACATATGGTATTTTTAAACATGAACCATCCTTCTCTATGAGAGTTACTTCATATACTTAATATACCCGTATATGAATACACAATGCCATTTACAAAGTAGTCAAATGTAACAATAGCATCAATGGGATAACACTTTCTTCGTAAAGTACATATTCCAATACTTTTTGGGGTTGAGTTCCATCCGGGATTTGAACCCACACTGCCAGAGTGAGGCACCTAATCGCCAGCACACAAAGACAACGATCTATCCCACTCAGCCACCGTGGCTTCCACAAAATGAAAGTCCGACAACTGGCAGCCTAGATCACGTGCTTTGTGTACCCCTCTGACAAGTGTAAATTGGCACGGCTCCCATGACCGAAAACGATGAATACACACAATACCATTTTGAAAGTGGTCAAATATAACAAATATTAACGTTACGGGTGGGAATCAACCCCCAAAAGTACTAGAAAGTGTACCTTGGGAAATAAGTGTTATCCCAAATATAACATTTGTTATATGCGTGTATACATGTGTGTGCATATCGGAATGGTAACGTGAGAGAGTGAATGGTGTTTTACGCCGTTGGAATATTCAGGCAATTTCACGGCGGACTGTGAATAATCGAGTTTGGGCCAGGCAAACTTGTGGTTGATATCATGAGCATCGACCCACGCCGCTGACCCGCTCTACCAGCAAAGACACGCATTATGACCAACTCAGTCTCAGTTAGTTGGTTGTTATATGCATGTGTTATATATGTGTGTGTGTGTGTGTGTGTGTGTGTGTGTGTGTGTGTGTGTGAGTTGGGTTTAACGCCGCTTTTGACAGTATTCCTGTTATATCGCGGCGTGTCAGCTTAATGTGGGAGGAAAGCCTGAAGTGATGCAGGTCTCAGACGTTTACCACTTCGGTGAAACCCACGAGCACGGGTATGGTGCTGACAAACCTAGAAACATAATCGGGGCGAACCGGGATTCGAACCTACAACCATAGGTTTCTGGCGTGCCCAAGGGACGCAACTCTGCACAGCGAATTGTGTGTTATAAGTGGCCAGTGACGGAGTTGTTCTGATGGGGAGAGCTGTACCAAGCAATCTGACCGCTAAGTGTCGTAGAGACAGGCCACAGCGATGTGGTCGTGATGCAGAAATGTTCCAGAAGAAACCCAAGTGAACATCGTAGAGTAGACTAACAATTAGTCTCAGAAATATTATCTAAAAATAAAGATTTACAAAATCGAAAAATGGCGCCCAGAACAAAAGTTAATTTCAGCTGAGGCAATCTAAATTGCCAGATCAAGCTAGCCTTGAGTTGTCACTAGAAATATTGCCACTGTAGACATATTGTCACTGTAGACATATTGCCACTGTAGACATATTGTCACTGTAGACATATTGTCACTGAAGGCATATTGTCACTGAAGACATATTGTCACTGTAGACATATTGTAACTGTAAACATATTGTCACTGTAGACATATTGTCACTGTAGACATATTGTCACTGAAGACATATTGTCACTGTAGACATATTGTCACTGTAGACATATTGTCACTGAAGGCATATTGTCACTGAAGGCATATTGTCACTGTAGACATATTGTAACTGTAAACATATTGTCACTGCGGGCATATCATCACTGTAGACATATCATTACTGAAGGCATATTGTCACTGAGGAAAAGTTCATTACAGAGGCAGAAGTCAGCAATAGCGTAATGAATAACACATATCGACGTCATTCAACTCAAACAAAACACAACCATCTGGTCTTCTGGCGTGAATGTAATTTAACTCGTGTATAGAATTATAATTAATAATTAATGGCTATAAAAGCTAGAACAGTTCCGTGACTTAAATTAGAAAATGAGACCACGTGTCTAGCAATATCAGTATATTTCTTCCCTTTACAATAATGATGGTGGGGTGGAGGGGTGGGGGGGTGGGGGGGGGGGGGGGGGGGGGTGCTGCTGGCATGCAATGTAGAACAATAAACAAAATGATTGTGAGCAGTATTGATTTTAAGGAGCTTGTTATTAATTAGACATTGAATTCCTCTACTGATCGAGTTCCGTGATTACACCCCTGTACTGTCTCCAAACAAAGACCACAATTAACGCAGTATTGTTGTCTGAATGCCTCTCATAATTGCACTGAATTCCTGGCCTGAAAGCGGCTCATTTGACGATGTACCGAGTTTGACCGAGAAGCTCTCCGAGTTCCGCAGTAGCCTCAAACCTAATGAACCTCTCGTCAGCTCACAACACAGTCGTTGATCAACCTTTGAACCGCGGCTATCAAGACCACAATCAAAAGGACGGGGAACGACCACTGTTTTCGTCCATCTTCTATAAAATAACCACGTGACTAACACGTTTATAGTCAAAGTATCCCGCGGCTCTTCAAGCTGGGCGTCTATCCTGAAGAGCGCCGTATAACGAGGTGTACGTTTAATGTCGGGCAGTCGTGTACCTGTGAACATAAATATTGTGCTGTGCTGCTACAGTAACAGTCCATGTGCGATCCATCTGACTAGCAGATCCTTTACGCCAGACACAGACCGGAATTCCAACAGAAATGGTGCCCCGATAAGGTTGTAATTATACTGTGTGTACAGCGAAAGTGTCACTGGCAGACGACAATGGTGTAAAACGAAGCTCCACGTCGTTGACAACTATTTTTGTGTATGTGGAACACGTTTATCTTGCCAGTGTCAGTCAAGGCAGGTTTACCACGCTAACGAAGGACCTTTCATCGCAGCTGACGAGCAGACGACACTTTGTTTTCGTCATTCGGAGCAGACGGCAAGCTCAGCGTGGGATCAAAGTAAATAGAGCGGGGCTACAAAACTCGTTTTTTCAGTAGTCATCGTCGAGGACGTTACCAGTGAACATTTTGGACACGAGAAGTTTCCAGTTGACATCTCGTCACGCGATTAGGATACAGGTTCTCCATTTCCACCGTCTCTCATGGTTGTCACAAGTGCGTTCCTGTTTACAATCCTTCTCGAGACAGTCACGGTGAGTAACCACTGTTTTTTTATTAATCTCCTAATGCTCACGTTGAATCAATAGTCGATCAATGCCATTAGTTGTTTTGTTGCCCCCTTTGGATAGAAATGATACGACGTAACAGCATGCGTTTTTTGGGAAACTGTTTATGGTGCCCATTCTAACCAGGCCTCAATTGACACTGTCGTAAATAGTTTGTGCAGTCACAATATCACGTTTTTTCTCCTTACGCTTTGTCCATGGTATGTGATATATTAGTATGTTGACCGAGTTAGTGGTGCACAACGGGATATTGTTGGTTATTCTGTTCAGTGACAAATTTATTGTAGGTGGGGTGAATGGGGCTTAATTAATATCAGCTTAAAGATTATAGCACGTATATATATATATATATATATATATATATATATATATATATATATATATATATACCGACATGCATGTGTTGTGGCTGTTTGTACTAGTCCTGATTATCGTGATAGCCCATTGAGATACCTTCCCGCTTGACATGGATACCCCACTCGTGCACAGTATACTGACTCCGTGCCGACCAGGCTTTGTTTTATGTCCTTAATGCCGAGCGCCAGGCAGGGTAATATGAAAAAAACATCTTATGACTCACCCAGGGGATCTAACCACCGACCCCCCACTCTCCACACGTACTCCAGCTGGGAGCAGTATTCTATAGTTACGTCCGTGGCCCGTTATCCGATTCATGTTTGTTTGTTGTTTAACGCCGAACTCAGCAATATTCCAGCTATAGGACGGTTGTCTGTAAATAATTGAGTCTGAACGAGACAATCCAGTGATTGATATCATGAGCATCGATCCACGCAATTGGGATCAATCACTTGCATCAACCAAGTCAGCGAGCCTGACCACCCGATCCCGTTTGTCGTCTCTTACGACAAGCATGGTCACCTTTTACGGCATCATCAACATATTTAATGTCGGTCGGGGGAAGTGACATCTTATGTCTAAGCCACGGTTTCAGATGAGTCATTCAAAATGTGCAAGATGTTTTTTTGAAATATGGTAATCATATAGAAGATATATCCTATCAAAAGTTGACAAATCTCGAAAATATCGTAATGCCATTTGTCTCTATAAAAAAGCCAGAGTCTGCTTTAACAGGCTTGTATAGAGAAATAGGTACTGCCGTGTGACGATTAGTTAATATTATCATAATCACAGTCTCATTATCTCAGCGACAGGTATACAGAAGGTTTGTTATCTACCCTCATCCTGATACTCCGTCATCATCGTCATCCCCGGGACATGTTACGATGTCGTCAAAATCTGACATCGCCATCATGCACCGAAAAATATAATCCTCATCATAATAATGTGAAACGGCACATAATTATTGTCATGTTATCACAATCTAATATCATCAGCATGTCTTTGAAATAATAATAATGATGATGATGATGATATCATCAGCATGTCATTGAAATAATGATGATGATGATGATGATGATGATGATGATTTTGATCCGAAACGGCATATAATAACTGTCACGTCATCAGTAGATATAGTACGTGAGTATGGTTTTCCGCCACTTTTAGCAATATTCCAGCACTGTCACAACGGGGTACACCAGAATTGGGCTTCACGCATTGTACCCATTTTTAGATTCGAACCGGGTCTTCGGCGTGATGAGAGAGCGTTAACCACTAGTCTACCCCTCTGTCCAGTGTATCAAAACGTCATCAAACGTTTAATCAAAATCTATTCAATTAACATGGACAAAAGAACCGGTAAACGCGTACGTGGCGTTCAGCACATAGGCACGCATGGCTATCTACCACATACACATGCATAATGCACTAAGGCCATTAAGACCAGCTCAAGCTTTGATTGTCACCTTTTAGAATATATTACGAAACATGGTAACACCACGACCATCGAAATGTCGGAGTTGCTAGGATCTGGAGGGTAATAAACGGTTAGTGAGTCGAACAGGACACGTGGTCACGTGATATATTTTCTCACTTGTATCTGTACAAACCTCTCATACTAGTGCAGCGATTTATATCTTATCGTATGTTGACATTAGTCCGTAATAAATCTTGTAGGTCGTTGTCGTGTAGTATTTCTACATAGGAAATTGATAACAGTAGATTGTAAATACAGGTATGTCTGAAATGTTTGAAGCATGTTGTAAATCTTCTCTTAAAACCACCACTTTGACCGACCTATAGGGGGAGAATTCTCATGAACATGTCTACCAAGTCAGCAGACCACCCGATCCCGTTAGTCGCCTCTTTCGACAAGCATAGTCGCCTTTTATGGTAAGCGTGGGTTGCTGAAGACCTATTCTACCCGGGATCTTCACGGGTCAGTTGTATACGTTGACAACGGGTATACAACGATTCAATCTGACGAACACTACTATGAGCTGATCCCAATGTGGTGATTGGTCCTCAGTCGTGCTTGACCTACCAACCGATTAAAAGGAGGGTGGAGTAGGGGGGTGGGGGTGGGGTTGAGTGGCTTCAAGGAGTGACCTGAATAGTTACGAGTGACCTGAATAGTTACGAGTGACCTGAATTGTTACGTGTGACCTGAATACTTACGTGTGTACCAACCCCCTCTTCACGTGGGGATCCCGCGTTAGAATTGGTGTCCATTATCTAATTTATATGCTTGTCGTAAGTGGATTGGTTGGTCAGACTGGTTATCGCACTCCAACAGAGTGGGGCGTTTCTCATATTATCAATCATTGGATTGTCTGGACTCAATTAATTACAAGCGTCGCACCGCCTTTAGTGTTGCCAGAATATTGCGGCGTTACAACTCACATGTCATCATTAAACGACGGCGTGGAGCGGAGCTCATAACATTAACCACTAGTTCACTGGATCTAGCGGTGATACAATTGGGATATTGCTGACACAACGGCGTACAACGCACTACATGGGACATGTGTATAATATATGCTTACTGATTATACATGATGCGAGCACTGATACTTCCTATAATTGGAGTACTGTTGGTTTTGCGAACTCGTCGGCATGTGTGACGCTCAGAAATGAAGGTACGTTAAATGGTAATGGGTATAGCAATATGCAGCAGCCAGATCATTTGTTAAATGCACACGTGTTCACAACGAGCCATGTCTCGTAGTTATAGCAATTTCAAATTAAACGAATTCAAGTCATACGTCATAACTTAATGAAGTGCAAGTCACGTGTCCCATTGTCATGCCAACTGTAGGCGTGATCCATCAGTCCACCAGTTGTTTTTGACGAGCCTGTGCAAGTCTTCTTTCACCAGAGTGAACGCGGAAACTTTCTTCCTATTCGATACAGCGGATGAGCCTATACAAAATGGTAACAGACACGTTGTGTGTGTGCATGTGTGTTCGCCAGTAGCCTTACGTCAAATATGTTTCCGCGATTGAAAGGTGTAGAAATAGATCCCACGCACGGGTCGTACAGTACAGTTGAGCGTTTCTGTCGGATAACATTACGAACAAGCATATTGTCCCTTTAGAATTCCTGCTCTACAGTACCGTGCGATATCTGATACACTGACACGCTACATTACTACAAAAACTATTTTGATTTAATTTACTAAATTTATCATGCTATTAGAAACAAACCAATTCTTGATTATGATAATTCCCCGAAATATGGCTATGTACACGGTATATATCAATAGAAATAATTATGTAAAGGAAAAGAGCTGAAAGGGATGAATTTTGGCTGCTAGAGCTGACAAGATAGAATGGTGATTGTGTTTTAAATACTATTAAATAAATAATGCTCAGGAGTCTGAAATAGACACTACATTTAACCCGGAACAGTGCAAAGATATTTCGTCAAATTAAGGGCATACGGGTGTATGTTAAACAGACAGAGCTCCCGATAAGCTTTTGGTGTTGTTGGTATTTTACCCATGCGATTAAAAATCATTGGGTATCAGTAATTCTATCTTGGTATTCAAATTTCTGTTACCAACTAGTTTTTACACATGTGGGTATTTAAGTTAAATATTTAAAAACACTATCCATCTAGGCCCTGCAAACTGGTTTCGTGTGGGTTCGAAAGCTTTATAGGACTAAAAAATACCACGATACTTCCACAAGAAAGTGTGATGGCAAATGATCATGATGTAACTGTCATCGTGGAGTTCGGCAAGGTTGACGGAATGCCCGTTGATAATTTCATAATAAGTTGCTGATTTGCTCATCGAATACGCAGGGTTACTTCACAGTATTTTGATGATACGCACAAGTTTTATTTTTGTAGCGTATCTGTAATGTTCGTTGTGTATTTGATACGCTTGGATTTTATTTTATTGCGTATTTCTGATGCGTATTTTACGCAGATACGCAGCTTATCTGGAGCTCTGACAGATCAATCGGACAGATGGAAATTCGGAAAGAATGTCATGTCATTCTTTTCGGGCGTAAATTCACACATTTATCTCCTACTCTTCACAACATATTGACATTCGTCAGTATTTGGAGTAGAAAAAATCATATCCTTGTGGTAATTTAATACAACATATATTTACCAGGATATGAACAAATAATATGCCATATATAAGTAATTCCCGTTAAACCTTTAATCTTGTACCTTAAATAACTTCGTCTAATACGTGACATTGTGTTGTTTCCCGGCCACCTGAATCGCACGGGTCTCATATCCCAATTGCGTGGATCGACGTCCATGTTATCAATCACTTGATTGTCTGGTCCGGACTCGATCTTTTACAGACCGTCGTCATATAGCTGGAATATTGCTGAGTGCGGCGTTAAACAACAACAAACTATTCCACGTTCTTAGATATACGGAAATCACAGGCTTACCGCAAATATCTTCAGACTGGTGACTTAGAGATAGGTTAGTCCCAACACAGTATTTTAGTTTTGTTGTTTTTTTGTTTTACGCCGCACTCGGCAGCATTCCAGCTATATGACGGCGGTCTGTTAATAATCGAGTCTGGACCAGACAATCATGTGCCCGATGGACACCATTGGCATCGATCCACGCAGTTG